CACCTCATTAGTCCGGTCGTGATGGTCAAGTGGATTAAGGCGTCTTGTACATACCAGTTGCGTTGCTTCTGGGAGTATGGGTTCGAGTCACTTCTGGGGTGTGAGTTTTCAGTTATATATATATATATATATATATATATATATATATATATATATATATATATATATATGTGTGTGTGTGTGTGTGTGTGTGTGATTAAGGTGTCCTGTACACACCAGTTGCGTTGCTCCTGGCAGTATGGGTTCAAGTCACTTCTGGGGTGTGAGTTTTTAGTTGCATATAGTCCTGGGGACCATTCAGGCTTGTTCGCATTTGTGTTCCTCACGTGTGCTCCAAAGAATGAGGTGATTTGATAAAATACCATGCCCAAGATTACCAACTGAGTGCCGGTGGGGGAGGGGGGGATGGAAATAGCCTCTTCTACCATCCTCTTTTGTCCGGTCGTGTTGGTCGAGCTGTTAAGGGATCCTGTACGCCAGCAGAGTGCTCCTGGCAGTATGGGTTAGTCCCTTCTAGGATGTGAGTTATATATATATATATATATATATATATATATATATATATATATATATATAAACCTAGAAGGGGTACCACCTCTGGTGCAAGTGTAGGGACCCATAGCCTCGGAGAAGAAAATAAAGAGTACTCAGAGAAGACCTTGTGGATCCTCACTGAACACTTTGATATTTTCTTCTCCTACCACCCCTATTCTTTTGTTAAGTGTGTATATTTATCTAACTTTAATTTAACAGAGTGTATATATATATATATATATATATATATATATATATATATATATATATATATATTATTAAATATGACCGAAAAAGTAAGATTAATAATTCTAACACGAATTTTCTCAATCTTTCGTACATTTCTTTTCACTGGTGGAGGTAAATCAAAAATCAATTCTCCAAAATTCATTTTTATTTCTAGTCTGACGCGACACGAGCGCATTTCGTAAAACTTATTACATTTTCAAAGACTTTAATTCACAAATACACAACTGAATAGAACTTACGCATCTCCGATTTTATATCTACATTTGAGTGAGGTGGAAGGGGTGATGTGGCATTAACACAAGACAGAACAAGATGTGGCATTAATAGGGTATTAATTTCATCAACACAAGACAGAACAAAAGGTGGTATTAATAGGGTATTAATTTCATCAACACAAGACAGAACACGAAACAATGGATATTGAATAGAAGTGTTTGTAGAAAGCCTATTGGTCCATATTTCTTGATGCTTCTATATTGGAGCGGAGTCTTGAGGTGGGTAGAATATAGTTGTGCAATAATTGGCTGTTGATTGCTGGTGTTGACTTCTTGATGTGTAGTGCCTCGCAAACGTCAAGCCGCCTGCTATCGCTGTATCTATCGATGATTTCTGTGTTGTTTACTAGGATTTCTCTGGCGATGGTTTGGTTGTGGGAAGAGATTATATGTTCCTTAATTGAGCCCTGTTGCTTATGCATCGTTAAACGCCTAGAAAGAGATGTTGTTGTCTTGCCTATATACTGGGTTTTTTTGGAGCTTACAGTCCCCAAGAGGGCATTTGAAGGCATAGACGACGTTAGTCTCTTTTAAAGCGTTCTGTTTTGTGTCCGGAGAGTTTCTCATGAGTAGGCTGGCCGTTTTTCTGGTTTTATAGTAAATCGTCAGTTGTATCCTCTGATTTTTGTCTGTAGGGATAACGTTTCTATTAACAATATCTTTCAGGACCCTTTCCTCCGTTTTATGAGCTGTGGAAAAGAAGTTCCTGTAAAATAGTCTAAAAGGGGGTATAGGTGTTGTGTTAGTTGTCTCTTCAGAGGTTGCATGGCTTTTCACTTTCCTTCTTATGATGTCTTCGACGAAACCATTGGAGAAGCCGTTATTGACTAGGACCTGCCTTACCCTACAGAGTTCTTCGTCGACTTGCTTCCATTCTGAGCTGTGGCTGAGAGCATGGTCGACATATGCGTTAACAACACTCCTCTTGTACCTGTCTGGGCAGTCGCTGTTGGCATTTAGGCACATTCCTATGTTTGTTTCCTTAGTGTAGACTGCAGTGTGGAAACCTCCGCCCTTTTCCATGACTGTTACATCTAGAAAGGGCAGCTTCCCATCCTTTTCCATCTCGTAAGTGAAACGCAGCACAGAACTCTGCTCAAATGCCTCCTTCAGCTCCTGCAGATGTCTGACATCAGGTACCTGTGTAAAAATGTCGTCAACATACCTGCAGTATATGGCCGGTTTCAAGTTCATGTCGACTAAGACTTTTTGGTCGATGGTACCCATGTAGAAGTTTGCAAACAGGACACCTAGGGGAGAACCCATGGCGACCCCATCTACTTGCTTATACATGTGCCCATCCGGGCTCAAGAAGGGTGCCTCTTTAGTACAAGCTTGGAGTAGTTTCCTCAGAATATTTTCTGGTATGTCAAGAGGAGTACAGGCTGGATCACGATACACTCTGTCGGCTATCATTCCGATTGTCTCGTCCACAGGTACGTTGGTAAACAGAGACAATCCGTTTACACAGAGATACAGAGATGTCTGTATCTCTGTATCTTGTACAGCTCCTCCAGCTCCTCAGATGGCGGGCAGGAACTATGGATGCAGTGAGCATTTCCTCTCTGGATTGCCACACTAAGGCGCTGAAAAAAGAAAACTGGTGGCTCTAGGGTCTCTAGTTGTTTCAATTAGCTTGGACCCCAGTTCTTTAAAAAAACTTGCAGCACTTTTACCCCAGGCACCAAGTGTCTGAGGCAATGGGGACAAAATTGTAGTGGTGATCAAGGTCTCCATATTTACGTGACTTGGCTGCTTCCCGGTGATTGGCAGCACCTCCTGCCTGTGCAGCACTGAAGTTAACATAGGTGTTGGCTAAGGTTGAAACGCAAGTGTAGTCTCACACCAACTGTCTACCATTCTTCCAGGGTTCACCGTGATCCCGTCTGGGCGACCGACAGGCTCATCTGAGTTGTGGGGCATTAGGTAACGGGGCTCTCTCTCTGCTGGACAACCGGCCGTGGTAAGGCTTCTCATGATAATGTCGTTAACCTCGCCATATCTTGCATGCCATCCTCCTGTCCTTTGGCAGAGAAAGCCATGCCGTCCGTACCTGTCGGCCTCTGCCTCGCCGCAAATACACCTGTATTCGGTGTGGATTGGGCAACCCATTCTCCGAATTGACAGTACGATTTAATACTAAGTGTATTAAGTGTACTTTCTTAAAGTCATAAACAGTGCATAATTGCACTTATGGGGCTGTTACATTTACCCAACTCCCTCCCCCGATTTAATTCTTCTAGTTTTCTGTTAAGACACTCAGAATTTTAGGATGAAGTTTTCCTTTTCAATTTGCAATTCACAAGGTTTAAATATCAGGAATTTCTTTTTCAGGTTTATTAAACAATATAGATTTTATACAAAATTTTAAAATATCCTGAGTTACTTTACAATTTATTGATATATTTTAGTTTTGCTTTATTAGTTTTATAAAACTGTAATATCAATATAGCTATAGGTTAAGTACTAATTGTAATTAAGAAGCAATAAAATGATCTTCAAAAACTAAGACGGTTAGGAGAGGTTGTAGTTTTCTATTCAGTTTTTCAGGTAAACTCAAATATTCACAATATATTTGACAGTACGATTTAATACTAAGTGAAAATAAGTACAATTCCTAACTGATATGAATAGTACGTAATTGCACTTATTTGTCTTCTTACATTTACCACCCCATTTTTGGAGGACGGGCTGGGATTGGGGCAGCGAGGCGGAGAGCCATAGCAATTCAGAAGGGCATGCGGTGTGAGACGAGTGCCAGTTGCTGACATTGGGGATGCTAATAGGAAAAATATAAATATATATATATATATGTTGTACCTAGTAGCCAGAACGTCATATTCGGCCTGTTATGCAAGGCCAGTTTTGCCTAATAAGCCAAGTTTTCCTGAATTAATACATTTTCTCAAATTTTTTCTTATGAAATGATAAAGCTACCCATTTCATTATGTATGAGGTCAATTTTTTTTATTGGAGTTAAAATTAGCGTAGATATATGACTGAACCTAACCAACCCTACCTAACCTAACCTATCTTTATAGGTTAGGTTAGGTAGCCGAAAAAGTTAGGTTAGGTTAGGTAGGTTAGGTAGTCGAAAAAAACATTAATTCATGAAAACTTGGCTTATTAGGCAAATCGGGCAGTGTATAGTAGGCTGAGAAGTGCGTTCTGGCTACTAGGTACGACATATATATATATATATATATATATATATATATATATATATATATATATATATATATATATATATATATATATATATATACACATATATATATATATATATATATAGACAGCAGGCAATTGTTTAAGCATATTTGCTTAAATATGACCGCACTGCTGACATTGTTATCACTATCCACGGATCTGTAGCCAAGAAGAAACTGTGGAAGTCTACATGGAACTTGGGAAAAGGGTCCAGCTCATTTATTAGAAAAATTATTGGTCATAAATGTCCATTAGTCAGAAAATTGGTTGGTAAATTCACGAGCTTGGTTGCCCACTGTACAAATCTTAGGCGAAGATGAGACAGTAATCCATAAAAGAATTAAAGTAAATCAATTGTACTCATGCTATGGAATTCCACCCACCAGGGCAGTAAGGGGTGCCAAGCAGAAGCTGAGAAATGGGGCTCCTAATCCCCAGTGAAGCTCTCCATTTTTAACTAGGAAGGTCAGTGATGTGATTGCTTGCCCATGCCTTGGCTATCTCATCCATTCATCCCTGGGTTGATCTGGGTACCCATATAGTAGTTCTCATGCAGTTAGACATTTGCTACACACCAGTTTGTCATCCAGGAGAGGGGGCTTCAGGAGTCTCATGCAAATATCCCGCAGGCTGCATCAGTGCTGTGCCTTTGGGAAGGCCATACATATAAGCCTCCCAATACAAGATGGTACCAATGGGAAAGCAGAAGATTTCTTGTATGTGTAAACCAGAACATCATTTGAAATATTTAATAACTTGAAACTCCATTACTGAAAAACCAAATCCTCATTTACATAATGCCTAACAAAGGCCAAGGATGCCACCATTACAGATTGTCTCTTTGTACTGAGGCACAAAATTAATATTCTATTGTTTATTAATACAGTATATAAAATACATAGACATGAAATAATATTCAATAAAAAAATGAACATTCTAAATGACTGTTGTTGATATATTTTAATTGTACAAAGTTTAAAGTTAAATGTATACATTTCATTTCCCATTTATATTTTAGTTCATTAAATAATTGTATGTAAAATACAAAGTTAAGAAAAGAATACAATTTGCATCTATGAATTTTGTTCTCTAATTTGTACATCTGTACATGCATGGATACATGTGTACATGCATGGATACATGTGTACATGCATGGATTCATGTGTACATGCAAAGATACAAGTGTACCTGCATGGATACACATGTACATGCATGGATACTTGTGTACATGCTTGAATATCTTTCAATCAGTTGTTGGCCACAAACATTGCCTGTTTCACTCAGACTAACCTTAGCGATTCTTACTCACAACATTCACAGAAATTTTTATGCTCTCTGGTTGTCACCAAACCCCTCTGTTATATTTTCTCTAATACATTTAATAATTTCTGCACATTGCTTACCCATACATGTAGCTTTCCTCACATGTCACCTTTTACACTAACCTCTGTTACAGGTATTCTATTTTGTAATCATCTCAACAGCCATACTAATCCCCAAGCATTTTTGTCATCAATTTTACCCATTAGACATTAAAAATACCATAATCTTCACCTACTTCTAGTTCTACTTTATTTAAGCAGCACTAATGCTTATCTTTAATATTCACATTTGCTTTCAAGGTAGCAGCAAATAAAATATTCATGCAGTTTTTATTAACTCAAAACATACGTGGAAATACCTTAAACCCCCCCCCCCCCACCCCTTTGATATATTTATGAATTCCTTAAAAATACTGTGGATTACAAGTGACCCAGTGAGCACTCTGTTTCCTCTGAGCTGTCTTGTGGGTGTCAAAGAGAGACTTGAAGACTTCTGAAGCCTTTGGGTCTGAAGCGACACTAAAACCTGCTGATCGAATCTTCTCAAAGTCTTTATCCCTCAGAACAGCTGATGCCATGCCTTGGACACGGAGAGATGACTTACTGTTATCACTGCTAGAGCTGGCACCTAAAATAAATTCATATTTAGTGTGATTAAAGCAGTGTAATCATTATTATTTGACACTAACTTATTCATACTGAATAGCACTGAATTCAAGAACAGCAGCTTCAGTCAGCACAACATTAGATGTCTTATTGCTAATGCTTCTAGATATGAATCTCAATCTCTCATTTGCCTTAATTTTAGCAATTATATATTGATTTTTTGGCTTAAGATCCCTACTAATCATGATTCTCAATATGTTATAAAAACCACACTCCTCAGTTAACAAATAATGAAGACTAACTTGAGAAAATTATGTAAACTATGTGTATAGGATATACAGAAAATGAATTTCCAGTGAAACATTTATACTTAATTACTTTAACTGAATCTGGGTGAAAAATCAATTCATACAACAGAGATAAAATAGTTTCCTCAACAGGCTAAGGTAATATAGTATATAGTAGTCTAAAAAAAATCTCAAGGTGTCAGTAGAATAAGAACTCATAATGTTTGCACAAGTACAGTACATGTAAATAATAATATTTGTGTTTAACAAGTGGTGGTCAAGTATATTACTGTGCTTTGTGTCAATTTAGATTGACACTACAATTCAATACTTTTCCTATATGAACCCATCTACTTTCAAGTGTAAGAAAGGTTTCCAAGATTAAAATAACATAAGAAGACTGAATGCTGCACTTACCATCAGACAATTTTGCAACCTTCTTTCCCTTGCTGGTGCTAGTTGTAGGTGGATCATCATCCTCCTCTTTAATTGCCCTCTTTTCAATCTTCTTAGCCTTTTTTGCAACCTTAGCCTTGGCACGGCGAGAGATCATGCGTGCCTTAACAGCATCTTGTTCATCCACAGAAGGATTGAGAGGAATTACATCCTCCTCCTGATAAGGCTGCCCACACTTGTGACACACCTCGGATTTTACCTCTTTCAAGGCTCGCTCGGAAACTACACAGCCACAGGTCCACACAAAAGAAAAGGGGTATTTGCCATTCATCTCCAAGGAGGTGACTGGGCAAATGTACTCTGCTGCTTGATGATCAGTGTAAGCATCTCCTTTGTTGGCTCCCTCATGCCTGTAGCCAGGGTTAGAGGTCAAATTCAACTCCTTTATATCCTTTAATCCTCGTATATGTGACATGCCAGGCTCAGATGATCTGTCTAACAGCCGGGTGAGGACTACTTCTTTGTTATACATGCGACCCAATTCACATGCAACAACAGGTGTCTTCAGAGGGGTTTGAGATATGGAACAATGACGCCATCTATAAAGACGCTCCGAGTTTTTGTCTTTCTGTTGGGAAGAAAAAATATGGTTCTCAATATGAAAAGCACCTTTCTCTGCCTAGGGATTTAGTTGCTTTCTAAGGAAAGAAATTGTTGTGACAAGAGATGCACTAGATAAAAAGGTCAATATTTTATATTACAAATCGCTGCTTGTATGTTATCCTACTTAACTGTTCATGAATCCTCCCTTCTGGTACAGCAAATTCTTACCTTAAGATACAGCCAAATATGCCAGCTCAAAAAAAAAACTTGTCTCTGATACTTTCCAATCCCCATGACTTCAGGGTTACATCTACCACCAGTAAACAGTCCAACTATTGACATTAAAGCCATCAACCTACTGAATATCTAAAAAAGTAATGAAATATATTTCCCCTGATTAGAAAATACAGTACACCTTAATACTGTAGTAATTCACCCAAGAATGCCAGTGAATATTATTTTAAATTGCATAATAGCGTTTGATACCTGCTTGATGGGGTTCTGGGAGTTGTTCTACTCCCCAAGCCTGGCCCAAGGCCAGGCTTGACTTGTGAGAGCTTGGTCCACCAGGCTGTTGCTTGGAGCGGCCCGCAGGCCCACATACCCACCACGGCCCGGTTGGTCTGGCACTTTTTTGGGAAAACAATCTAGTTTTCTCTCTTGAACATGTCCACGGTTGTTCCGGCAATATTTCTTATAGTCGCTGGGAGGACGTTCAACAACCGCGGACCTCGGATGTTTATACAGTGTTCTCTGATTGTGCCTATGGCACCTCTGCTCTTCACTCGTTCTATTCAGCATTTTCTTCAATTTTGTTCCCTCTAGTATGTTGTTATTGTACTGTGTAGATTTGTGACCTGGCCCTCCAGTATTTTCCATGTGTATATTATTTGGTATCTCTCATCTCCTTTCTAGCGAGTACATTTGGAGAGCTTTGAGACGATCCCAACACTGTAATTGAGGTGCTTTATCGCATCTATGTGTGCTGTATATGTTCTCTGTATTCCCTCTACTTCAGCAATCTACCTTGCTCTGAAGGGGAAAGTGAGTACCAAGCAGTACTCAAGATGGGACAGCACAAGTGATTTGAAAAGTACAACCATTGTGATGGGATTCCTGGATTTGAAAGTTCTCGTAATCCAACCTATCATTTTTCTGGCTGATGCAATATTTGCTTGGTTATGCTCCCTAAACATTAGGTCGTTGGACATCACTATTCCCAAATCCTTGACATACTGTTTTCCTACTATGGGGAGATTCGATTGTTTTGTACCCTGTATTATGTTATTAAGTTTCAGTAATTATTTGAAATGGTTTCCCACGCACTACTAAATATGGATGTATCAAGGCCACTGTGTGTTGACCTCAGTATTAAGGCAATGAGATCATGTTACTTAAGGATCTTAATCAGTTTTACTTTGGATATTTTATTACTGATGCGTAACAGATATAGTCATGCTACACTTGCCATGAAAAAGAAAATATTTCTTAATTAATGTGAAAGGACAACAAAATTTAGAACATTTATAAAGGGTAGGAAGTGAAGAAATGGACAGAACAATTTGAAACTGGTACTTCAACCATTTGTGATATAAAAACAACAAAAAACTAAGAATATATTTTGGAGCCAATTGCAATGAAAGAATGTTCTTGGGCCACAATACCCAGAAATTTTTTTTTACAAGAATTAGGACTCATCTCCATTGAGGAAAGAAAAAAATTCTTACCATATCTGTATTCTGTATATTTATATTCAAAATACATTATTAATATGCTAGCTTTGTATGTTAAAATATACAATGATGCAGTCTATCATTTGTGATAGGCAAAGATACAGTATCTGAAAACTGGCAAAGGGAACCTTTAAAGGCAAAACCTTTAAAGTTTATAATTAGTGAGGTCCCAATTAGTCTGTTCTATAGAAATTCCACTGTACATAACAAATGTCAGTTTTGTCAAATAGTAAAGTGCTTCAAAGTCCCATATAAAACATGGCCAGAATCCTTAAGTAAGGAAAAGTACTCTGACCCAAGTATCAGTTGGATCAACCCATGCGTCGAATTCCAAAAATGTGCAGCCATGATGGCACAGACGAACGCCCGACAAAAATTGTTGAAAACATCTTGATAACTTGGTAAAGAAAAATTATTTATACAGTATATCGGAAGAAAGATGGAAACAATCTACGTAAACCATTAAGCTATGTAAAACTTTTACCAGGAAAATATTTTAAGTAAAACCAAAGATATATGTAGTTGTATAAAAGTTGCAATTTTCATTGCTTGTCAAGCTTGGAACCAACAATATTCATCTCAGAACAATGCTTATTTCATGTAGATACATTTTTAAACTGTAAGTGTTTTATATGTTGCAAGATAGATAGAAATATAAGCTTCATTTTAAATACCTTACCATAGGCATATTTCAAACACATGTACCTAGCGAAGGTACATGCGATCTTATAACCCGCACAGGTCGATCAATGGAGCAACTCTCTCTCAGATTAATGTTTATTTTCATGTAAATATGTTGACAATCGTAAATGTTTTATATGACTCAAGATAGATATAAGCTTCATTTTAAATAAATTTCCATGAACATATTTAAAAATTCAAATGAAGATACATGTGTTTTTATAATTGCCGGGCTCTGACCCCGCACTGACTGATTGACAAAGCAACTCTTTATCTCTGAGAACAATGTTTCTTTCATGTAAATGTGTTAATAAACATAAATGTTTTATGTCTCGGGAAAGATAGAAATATAAGCTTCCTTTTAACTCCTTTATCATAGACATATTTAAAGCTCGAGTGAAGATATATGTGTTTATATAATCACGACCAGTAGGTTGTCAGTCATGAAGTTTAGAAGCCTACATACTGGCTGATATATTGTGTAATTAACAAAGATACACTAATGAAGCCTAAAATATTATATACCTTCTTTCTATTGACATATAATTTTTGTTTGTCAAGTTATCAAAATGTTTTCAAAAATTTTCTTTGAGCATTTGTCTGTTCCAATATGTTTTCACTTTTTAGAATGTGCAACCCGATACATGGGTTGACCCAACTGATACTTAGGTTAGATTCCAATATGGTGTCAGACAGTTTCACTTACTCTGCACCTTGCTAGCAATTTGTTTATAACATGGTTTAGAAATCATCAACTGTGTAAAAAATACAAAAAAAAAAAGATAGCAATAACACAGAATGACTACTTTAGGGTCTTGTTTTTTAACCCTAGCCCCATTCACAATCACTGATACAATTAACACTGAGACATTGGTTTAATATAAAAACTTAGTTCTGGTGGTATTACAAAACTCTGTAAAAGTCAAAACTTACCTGTTCTGGTTTTTTCTTGGTCTTGACCAGCTCGTCTCTCCTGGGGATGGTTCCTCCGTCACAACCCATTGTTGTCTTATTTCCCTCTTCCTCAGGCTACGGGCAGTGTGAGCATGTAGAGGTAACAGCTGGAACGAGGTAAACTATTAGATGCAGGTAAACAGGTGGATGTTGGTGGTGATTAGGGGCGACGACGCTCGAGGGATTGGATGCGCTCCAACAACTGGAACTGAAAGACTCAGGAAGTCTACGTCTGGTTTATAAACAATATGTCCGAATCCTGTAGCGCTGGCTTTAACTTGGTATTAACTATTTGCAGTATTATTTAAGAAGACGCTCTACGTATTTAATTCTTATAATTAATATTATCTTCAAGAGCTATACACTATAGGCAATGTGCATTATTACTAAGTTTCTTATTTGTTAATTTTTATAGTAATGTAACGTTTCTGTTGTTACGTCAAATAAGGCGACTATAAACACTATCTTGGGCACGAACTCAACTTCCGAAGAGCTGGATGAGGGCTTCGAACAGTGTGTGTTTTCTGTAAACTGTAGCAATGTAATAAAATAAAATAAAAGGGATAGGGGCGGCAGGAAAGAAAATATTCAAGTGTTCAGTAAGAATCCACAAGGTCTTCTCTGAATACTCTATATTTTCTTCTTCGAGGCTATGGGTCCCTACAATGACAGTTGAGTGCACTGAGAGTCGGTGTTGAAGGGTACAGTATCTCTCAGGCGTCTGCACTAAACCACTCTTGAAAATAGACTGCTGATTAATGATTGATTAATTGATAAAGATTAAGCCATCCAAGAGGTGGCACGGGCATGAATAGCCCGTAATTTTTTATGGTACAATTTTTTTTTTGTTCAGTCAGGTATTCAGAGGTTGCATTTAAATAGTTAAGCTGTTATCGCGGGGGAGGATACTGCTTGACAGTCTTTATGAGGGTGTCCAGCTGCTGGACACCTTTTTTGACCAGGACATGCTGATTATTGATTGATTGATTGATAAAGATTAAACCACACCTCATCTCACCATCTTAGTTTTACACCTGTGACGTAGCAGGTTAGGGAAAAGGAATGGACTGTACATTTGGGAAGAGGTATTAATTGTAATTAGTGGATTACGTAGACTTAACAAACCCATTTCATTAAGCTAATGAGAGTGGAGCGGGTATATTATTGGCATAATATACTCGCTACATATTGAACAAACCACACACTAGAAATTGAAGAGACGATGACGTTTTATCTGCATACTCGCTACATGCAGATAGAAAAAAACAAAACTCCTCCATCCCAGGAAATGAAAGGAAAAATACTTGATAAAGGAACCTGGTTGGTCGCCTAATTATACCCCCTGCTCGCGTTGTATAATCCTGGAAGTTAACTTCCTCCTCTTCGTTGTCATCTAACTGGGGTTGTAGATTGGGAGTTCCAAGTTACAGCCCCGCTCCTGTGCCAGGTAAGTCCACTACGGGCTCGCCATAGCCCGTGCTACTTGCCCCGCTCCTGTGCCAGGTAAGTCCACTACGGGCTCACCATAGCCCGTGCTACTTGCCCCGCTCCTGTGCCAGGTAAGTCCACTACGGGCTCACCATAGCCCGTGCTACTTGTAACTTTTGGTTCCCAGCAGCTGAATCTTAAACAACAACAACAGTTGGGAGTTCGCACAGGATTGTCCGTCATCGTAGGATCAGTTTTTTTTATAAAGCACAATAAATACAATAAAACAGTCTGACAAAAAAATACAAACAAAGCACATGTAAAGCACAAAAGCAAAACACAAAACTGAAAAACAAACAAGCACATAACAGGAAACACTGAAATGAAGCACTAACGATGCACTTATTAGTATGATTAACTTGATACATGCAGCTCTTGATAAAAATGAGTTCCCTATTGGGATATTTGTGGACCTACGGAAGGCTTTTGACACTGTCAACCACCAAAACCTTCTTCTTAAATTATATCATCATGGAGTCAGAGGTCACTCCCTGCAATACCTTCAGTCCTACCTTACTGACAGGCTCCAGTATGTTTCTGTGAATAATTCCATTTCTCCGACACTACCTATAAACATCAGTGTTCCACTGGGCAGCATACTTGGCCCTCTCCTCTTTCTCATCTACATTAATGACCTTCCAAATGCCTCTCAACACCTCAAACCAATCTTATTTGGTGATGACACAACTTTCATCCTCTCCAGTGCTGACCCTCTTGCTCTAAATGTCACTGTGAATACAGAACTAAATAAAGTCCATCTTTGGCTAACTGCCAACAAACTCACCCTTAACATTGACAAAACTTTCTATATTTTGTTTGGTAATAAATCCTCAAATGAAATTAATTTAAGAATAAACAACATACAAATCAGTAGTAAAGTTGATGGTAAATTTCTGGGTGTCCTCATCGATAACAGTCTGAATTTCCAGGGACACATTCTAAATATAACAAAAAAGTTTCTAAAACTGTTGACGTTCTTTCAAAGATCAGATATTATGTTCCTCGCCCTGCCCTGGTGACGCTCTATTACTCTCTCATCTATCCTTATCTCAACTATGGTATTTGTGCTTGGGGTTCTACTACCCAAAATCATTTACGTCCTCTAATTACCCAACACAAAGCTGCTATTAGAACAATATATAACTCTGGCCCCAGACATCACTCGGTACCCTTACTCAAATCTCTGAATATGTTAGATATTAAGTCACTGCACATCCTCTCTTGTGTACTCTATATATTTAAAACTCTGAATTGTAATGTCAATCCTGACTTTCAACGCTTCCTAGAAGGTTGTAACAGAACTCATGTGCACCACACCAGAAACAAATACCTATTTGATATTCCAAGAGTTAGACTTAATCAAACTAGGAATGTTCTACAAATCAAGGAACCCAGAATGTGGAATGACCTTCCCAATTATGTCAAAAATTGTACCTCTCTCAACCAGTTTAAGATGAAAACTAAGTACTACCTAATTAACTCCAAGTAACCTACCTCACTTCTAAATGTCAACCCATGTCTCACTATTTAAAAAAAAAAAAAAATGCTGTTTGTTGACCAACTTATATATCGGCTATTTTCTATCATGTTTCCCCCCTTTTTTTTATCTTTTATTATTTTTTCATTCAACACAATTTATACTTTAAGCTCAATTACTATTAAGTTTTAGTCTAAGTATTTTTCCCCACCACTCCTTGCCCAAAATGCTATGCGTACTAGTGGCTTTAGGTATTGTATGTACTACCTCTATCTTTAAATCTAACAATGTTTGTACTGTAACGCTGCAACTATGTATGTACTGTTCCTAAATAAATTATTATTTTATTATTATAATTACATTTACAGGTGAGTGTCAGTCTGTGATTTCAGTCTGTCCTGAACTATCACCAGCACCAGCTTTTTTCACTATGTTATTTTGCTTAAATGATGACACATTATGTCATCTACCCACCAAAACCGTAAACGCTAAATCTGCTGAATTTTAAAATACAGCTGGAAAAGATCATCAGGGCAAATGGGGAAAACTTTGACAAGCCGCCAGTTTTCTTTCCTCATTGAGAACACTAGTATTAGTGGCCCTCAGGTAAATTATGTAAAATTCTCAACAAATTATTTCAAATGTACCGTACTTTTAGTTATTGGCAATGAAGGCCTTTAAAATATCTGGAGAAGGTTCTGTGCAGTCAGTTTTCCCCTCAAGAACCTGAAGTTTCCACTAGCAACAAGGATTGAAGGATATATAAAGACTGAAAATAATTTATTCATGAGATTTCATAAACTTGGTAGAGAGCATTTTCATTTCGTTATCAAACATATATATAAATGTCCAGAACGATACTTCTAGAACATATTTTGTTTTGCAAATATAAGGTACTGTAATTAATATGAAAAAAAGGCAACTAACAGAAAGAAGAATGGAGCATTATCACTACTGATACACTAGACAAATATGTTATTTACTAATAGTTAATAGTTCCTATCATGTCTAACTGCCTCTTGAAAATATATTGCCACGGTAAAATCTCTAGGAAGAAATTCGGCATGCTCCATCATCACCTATTTTATCATATCACATCTATATATTCAAGAACTGCAGCCACAAGAGCAACAACTACTACTTTCCAGACGTCTAGACACTACCACCAATCTCCCCCCTACACCACGGTCCGTCACCCACCTCACCTGGTTGCTAAGAGCTCACACCACCGGCTGAAACAAGCAGTTAACAAGCTGGTTTCTAGTTATCCACGACTACCAGCGCCACCTGGACAGCCACTGTTCCATATATATAGGGCTACCTAGCCCACCACGATTCAGATTACTCCTGAGTGCTCTACTGAGTAAACCTGTTGACATATCTTGGTGTGGTAACAGGTTTATGCAGTCTAGCTCATAGTATTCTAGCACTATATTTTATTTGCACATTAACGTAACGTAAATTTGATTGTTCATCTTGTTTATTTTGCACACGTTGTATTAGAGCCAAGCCTGGATATTATTTTGTGTTTTGTAATTTGTTTAACATCATTTTTTCAAAGTAAAGTATTTTTAAATGTTTTTTTCCCTCTGTCTTATCCTACAGTTTCCTCACCGTGAAGACAACTTGCAGTCTAACTTTTTTTTTCCTTTTTTCCTTTTGTTTTTGTTTTATATGACTGGCATTCCATCTGCCTAGAGAGACTGCACCAACACCTATTTTTCTCGCCATAATATCGACAATGGCTTTCATTATGAAGAAATTCTGGCAGGCTCTTAGGCCAAGCACTAGCATAGGCAGGCATTCAGTGCCTGCCTGTGCTTGTCCAGAAAGACTGAAGCTAACCCATTTGTGTAATTGAAGAGTGCTTAGGGAATATTAAATGGGGGGGGGGGGGGGGTTTGAAATATAAAGTAAATTATAAAAGAGCATATTATTATATGTAACTTTAACAATATTGGGGTAAACACCTTAAGCCTCCTACACATTTTTGTTTCAAACTTGGTGCTTTAAATTATAAAAACCCCAATTTCCAGATAATTCAATTTTTTACCCCCTCATAATACCTCTAACCACTTTCTAGTTCCCTACTCCCTAGTGTTTAGTTGCTGGACTACACAGAAAGCCTGTAGTAACAATTAAATGTTGTTTGATCACATAGAAACAATCAAGGACACTACCTTCATATCTTATGCTGGCATGTCATATGGGACAATCAATACCTATCTTAAGAATACCCTGTACAGTACCTGTATATTCAAAAATACTGTACGTATATAATAATAATACAGTATTGATAAACATAATATGTTTATTCATTCTTATTTTGTTGACAATTACAATAATGTATAATTATCCTATATGTACAGATAGTAAGTTAAAATAATGTGGCTAAAAATTATACACCCAACCCCTGGTGGCACAGTGGCAAAACACTCACCCCACGCCTTGTGAGCATTATGTCTCAGTTAGAGTCCTGGCCAGGGAGGATTGTCTGGGCATCAGTCCTTAAATGTTCACCTCTGTATTCCAGCAGTTATTGGGTACCTGGTTATTAACCGATTGGCAGGTCATGTTCCAAGGCAATCTAATGGGGAAGATGAGCATAAGTTATGAGAAGGGAAAGCTCTCATTCTGCTAACAGGAGTCAGAAGTTGTCTGTTCCTGTACTCACCTGTGTAAAAAAAAAAAAAAAAAATATATAAAAATAAATAAAAAATAAAGGCAGTGACCAGGTTTCTCGAGCACTCTTTCTGTACATGATTTGATAATGGTCCAGGATAGACCAAAACGTCTTTACTTCATTTATTTTCATATATGTGGGCTGGGTGTCAAAACTCTATACAACAGTTAGTGGATAATAGTAAGTAATTATCAAAAAGTGCTCAGCCAAAGGCTATATAGCACTGGCTGCAGTACAGATATTCAAGACTTCCTAGATACAGTATCATTTATGCTGTCAAGACAAAAACAGAAAGACATAATTTGGGCGATGGAAAGTGTCAGTGGATATACTTTAGTTAAAGGCCAGTATGGATTAACAGTATTGTATATACAAACCAGAACTGTACTGTAAATATAAACTGAATTACTGTATCTACTCTAATATTAAATCAAGTAGCAGAATGGCATCATTAAGTGCTGGTCCAGTCAAGCCTTGGAGAGCTGCACCAAGCCTCTGAAACCCACCCTTAGCATACCAGGAGCTAGGGCCAGGCTCTGGCTCTCTCTTTCTCTCTACTTGGTAAGAAGAGCTTCAGGATCAGAGAGTATCCCAAAATTAAGAAAAAATGCCAAAATGTATAAAGCTCAACAAGCTCAGCTTGTTGAGTAGTGTAAGTATATAAGCTCAGCTCAATAGCTTTATCACAAGCTATTGCTTGAAAAAAATTAGGCATTTTTAGTTAAAGTAAATGATTGTTGCAGTGGTGTAAACACCCTAACTGTGACGTGTCTGACTGTTTTGTTATACCTATGCTTTCTGGTAGGTTTTTGTTTTGGTAGATGAGGGTACATCTCTAAGATTTGACTGGATCACTGCTTAGTTTGAGGAGCTTCTAGAAAATACAATATCAATCAAATATTCATTAATGCATGATTTTTTAATTTCTAAGTACTACTGTTTAATAGTAGTACTGTAGTATGCATCCTGCAGTCTCGGGGAGACTATGGAGTTGCGCTCTGGTTGTCGAGGCTAATGTTTAATAATACATTATCAAACTGTCCATAGATAGCCTAAAGCTTAGGATAAAAATAAATATCAATAATAAAAAGTACTTCCAAGGACTCCACTGACCTCCTTGGAAGTCAGTATGTCTTCGTATTGATTGAGCTTCTGTAAGCTCAATGAATGCAAAGAAATATCCTAAAGATACTGCATGGAAACTTCAGTATTAAAAAAAATACACCAGAGGACTACATTGCTCTTTCAATAGAGGAACTACTTTTATGGTCATACATGCCTATGTATTGGAAATTTTTTATTTAATATAAAGACAGGTTCTAAAGATATCACAGAAATACTGCAGAAAAATTAAAAATTATAAGGTATACCCCTACCAAGGAGACCTAATAAAAGACTATCAAAGAGTTGATTGTTTGGCCTCGGACTGGACATGGAAGCTTCACCAAGGAGACCATTTCTCTTAACTTGATTTTATTTTCATTCACTTATGCTGCTTACTGGTCTATGACAAGGATTGTAGGCAAAAAATAAAAGACAGATCTTACTTTCCTGTAGTTACCATTCATCATGAACACGTTTTCCAGTTCCACACTACTTTTCCAATGAAGTTTTCCCATTATAGTTTTAATGCCGAGCCATTTGGAATTTCCTAATTTTTTTTACTGTATTTCAGCACCAATAAGCTTGCTATGGCACCGGAAATATTATTAATAAAACAATCTAATTTTTTAATTGTATACGCTTCCTGAAGGAATTTTTTCACCTTACAACTTTTTTTAATGTGAACAAATTTATTTATTTATTTATTTATGCGCAAGACAATCCAGGGTGTGGAATTCTTTGGAAGATGAGTTACATGCTCTTTCTAAGAGCTTTAACTGGTTACGATTTCAGATATCCGGAGATTTAAGCTCTTTTCCCTCAAGGAAGATTTCTGAGAGAGAGAGAGAGAGACTATACTATATCATATTATACTATAAACTACAATGTACTGTACTACAAAGCACCACAATGATTTATCACATGAGACAAATATATATCCCCTTATTCATCATTTAACACAATCAATAAATATTACTTACAAGACCCAAATTTACAACTTCATATTCACAAACCAAATCGAATAAATAGCTCACCAACATGACTCACCCAATTAACATCTTGTACCTATGAATAACTTTCAGTTGTGTGTGAATAAAATGAGTCTTGATCTTTAAAAGTGTGTGCCTAAGAATTGGATTTAACATTAGCACTGACAAAGAACACAAACTTTCTCCCAAAAATATGCAGTATTGCAAATCCTGATCGGTAAACCAGGAAATACTTTTGTGCAAGGAAAGAATTTGTATTTTAGACAGAACTCCTGAAATTACTAAATCCTGTAGAACAGCCTGCAAATTGGCACCAAACAATTCAATAGTTTTAAGATTTGGAGCAGCACGAACCAAACACTTTAAGCAGGCCGTTTCAGAGGTATTTAATGACTTCACACTCATACCTAAAGACTGTAATTTTGGGAGGGTCTTCAACCCTACAAATGGATAACCAGAATGCATCTCAATCTGTGAGGCATTAACCGAGAAAACAGTCAATGTCGAGCACAAATCTAAGCATTTAAAAAGTATCCTTGCATCTAAAATTTCAAATGTGCTTAAATGTACTTCACTTAAAGTAGCTCCAAAAGACTCGAGCACTGGAATACAAACACCGAGTGTGTCTAAATGATCTTCAACGGGAGGAGAGGAATAGGAGAAGCTCGTACATCCCAGTCGTCCAACAATATCTTTGATTTTATCACTTAATACCTTAGGCTCAGACATATCATGACATGTATGAAAAATTGAAACATGCTTTACTCGAGGGAATGTTAATGATGAGGGTTCATCTTTATTCCAATTAGTCAAAGTATTTCTCCTCATTGTAAACTCTGCAATATCAAGCTGATAATACCCTTTTCCTTGTAGACTTAAAGGTGGGTCAAGCAGAAACTTGAGAATGGATGGAGTGAGTTTACTCTCAGCAATACTCTTGGTCCAACTAATTTTTATATTTGGGTAAAAATATTGAAGGTAAAACATTATATCATCATTATCTAAATCCATTAATATATGGATACTCTTTAATTTTAGAAATGAGAGTTTCAACTTCTCCTTGCAGTCCACATAATTCATGACCTGAGTTTTATCTTTGCCACTGAAAAAGGATTTAAAGAGATACTCTTCACTCACTACATTATGTCCACTTAGTGTTATGGATTCAATGTTTGGGCAGTGTTTTCTTAGCTGTATGAGAACATGATTACTGAGGTTCTTGTAAAGATGAATATTCTTCAAATATGGTGAATTCTTTATCAAAACAATGATAGGCATAGCATTGCGAAAATTTATACAAGTAGTATAAATTGTTTCTAAATTAAACGGCTCCAAGAACTGCAGGAATTCGGCAAAGCTTCGGCTTAGTCTCCCATCATATATCTGAAACAAAGTGAAAACCTTTAAATTAAGAAAATTCATTGCTAAAAATTGAAAGCAATAAATTTATAAAAAATCCAGTGTTGAATATAATGAAATACCTCTTACTGGAGGAGCCACAATGACTCCCTGAAGCTATCTTGCCGAGATTGCTCCATGCTAAAAGGTCATGTCAGTTACATACGCTCTGTTTGGCCTACCGGGTACCAGATTTAGTACCTGCATCCCTCCCACAGAGGTGCAGAGAGTGTGGTGACAGTTCATCACCCCATCAGAAAAAGTCTCCAGAAAATCAGCAAAGCTTTACAGACAACTGGGGGTTCACAGAAAACAAAGCTTCGACATCGGTAAACAACTCCACAAATGATTCACACAGAACATGAAATTCACTCAAACTAGTTTGAAACTCATTAACACTTTTGCGGCCTGATGTCGATGTCATAAAAGCAAAATACAGAGTAGGCCCGATGATGCAAACGGCGTCAAATATTTAAAAATTTGCAAAAATTTCATTTATTGTCCCGAATACTGCAGGACTTGTTTTAAAACGCTCGCCAACATCTTCTCATACTCTGTATATCCCACGTGGCATCCCCACCCCATGGTCAGGAATGAATAATAACCGAAAACGATGAAGAAAATCAGGTGTTGATCACATGACTTACGAACTTTATCTTATACTATTGGCAACGTTGTTCTAATATTTGTTCTTATATGCAAATATTCCTTTAGGGCATTCTATTGCAAACAATTTGATACCAAATTGAACGATGCAGCACAAAAATTGACGTTGGAAAGCTGATCAGAGTATAAACATCTGCAGGTGGTGGCGAGCTCACGGGTAACGCACGGACTACCTGGCGGTGCGCGGCAGGTCTAAAGTATAGAAAAGTGAGACTTATATGTTCTTATATGCAAATATTCCCTTTGAGTATTCTATTGCAAACAATTTGATACCAAATTGAATGACGTAGCACGAAAATTAAGGTCACAAAGCTGAAAAGAGTATAATCATATTTATGTGGTGGCGAGTTCACGCTCAACGCTCTGCCTTCCTTGAAATGCAAGAGGGGCCATGCGCCTGGCACACAATTGCATCCTGGCAAGGGTCAGTAGTTCAAATTTGGGAGGACCTCAACATAAAGTAAGCTTACAATGTATATATATGCAGGCTGCCTGTCCCCAGACAAAACAAATTAATAACATTCAGTGTGGAATGGGAATCCAATAGTACTTTTAAACCACTAAAACAGGTAAACAAATTTCAAGGAGACATGTTGCCTAGGTCCATGTACCAAAATAAATGGAAGGCATGCCAAGGGCAGGAAAAAGGACACAATTAATCAATCATGATGAAAGGTGTATAAAGCCATGGAACAATACAAATAATCTTTCACTGAATGGTACTCAGTATCACACTTGTGAACAGACAAGAAACACCAACACCATTGGGTCAGGATCAAGTGCACATCAATAACAATACTGTAACTAGACTACAACCTAACAAACAAGGAAATCACAATAGCATGATATATCAATGAGAAAATCCCTGCAGCAGAGCAGGGATCGAACCATTTAGCATTCATCAGAAAACTGATTCAATCCCTGCTCTGCTCCAGTAATTTCCCCACAGTCTAACACTAACTATATCCACTCCTTGCCATCTTTCAAGGAGTAACATGTAACTAGAAATCAGTGTCTCATCAAATTTAATGCCTCTTTCTGGTGGATCCATTCTTTCTGGCTCCCAACGCTACCCATCTGGTGAGTTCCAACCCCGAAGTACCCCACCAGGCCCTAGTGAGTCAAGAGTGGGGACCAGGGAGCAGAATCTGACCCCCATCAACAGAGACAAGGAAGTCTTGAGATACTAAATCAGGCCAAAAAAAAAAAAAGAAAGGTAGAGTACCCCAAAATGAGCAATGGCATGGTAAGATTGGCAACCCCTGGCACAAACTGTAACATAGTCATTATCCAGACCCACCTGGTAGTTAGATATTCATTGTGATATCACCCAGGGTAACCCACCCTCAATCATTTCTAAATTCACCATGGGGCTATGTGACCGAATTACAATAAGAACCTTCCTTGCATGTACCAAAAATCAGTTTTTATAGTTTCAAGCCAATAAACAAAAGCATTCTCTTGGTATTATGCAAACACCACAAATTTTGAAAAAACAAATAACAATTACTGTATATGACAAATTAAAAGGTATCTCTTTGTGGTATACATAATAAATAAATACTAAGCATAAAGAAAGTTACCTCTCTACTTTGGCTAAAGAATCCAGCTTCAAGGCAAAACATAATTTGTAGAGTAAGAACAAAAAGTGGCTCCGAGTCATCCACTGGCATTAAAGCTGGCAGAGCCTCGGCTATTGCTTCACACACGAGTCGACGTATTTCTGAAGCATGACTTGACAGACACTCATCAATATGATACCATCTCTGCACACCCTGGAGGTATTTCTGAAACACAATGAACCGACAGTAATTTGTTATGTATACATACTACATAAAACTATTATAGAGTTCTATTTCCACCCAAATTGAAAGTTTACCATTCCTAACTTAACTCTGCCATCACAACATACATAGCAATTCCTAATATATCATGATATTAATTTTATGGCTTTTCATGATTGCTGGGAAATTCTATTAACCCTTTAACTGCACGGCCTATAAATATAACATCCCCCAGTGCGCAGGAAATGAAACCTTGGGAAAAAATTATTTTTTCCTCGGAAAGTGTCAAAAACCCCTCCCTGTATATGGGTATAGCAACGCAAGTTCGAAATTGTACTTACTTTGGCTGCTATGGGGTCCGAAAGGTGGGCCATGACTTCATAATTCCCCGTGCGCCAGAGCAGTATGCACCCGGGGCGGGGCGTGCGAGTTGCTGCGAATATATTTTTGCACATTTTTTGCGCACAGTTCCAAATACATTTTATTTGTTTTTACATGCTAATCCTATGTATAATGAACACGTACACTATATTATGGCAGTAAAACATCCGTATTGTCCGAAGACACTGTGTTACGTGCATGACACTTGTGTACACATATGTGTCACATATTTACCATGTATCATGCTAATTTATGTATATATACAATTTATGTACAGACAATACACTGTCACACACTATATACATTCATCATCAACACATTCAGAACACCGCGAGTGTGAGCAGCCACACCCAGCCAGCCCTCCCTCACTCCTCCAACTCGGCAACATTGCTCCTCCAAATCATACAGTTATTCACACCAATGTTTCATGTTCATTTATGTATATTTACAACATATGTACACACGCTACACTGTCACATACTATATACATTCACCATCAACACACTCAGAACACCGCGAGTGTGAGCAGCCACACCCAGCCAGCCCTCCCTCACTCCAACATCTTACTCGCCAACATTGCTCCTCCCACCATACTGTTATTGTATTTATTACACAATTTACACATGTTATATATACCTATCTACATGTTTTATTTACCAGAACTATGCAAGTAAGCCGGTATTGTGTCCAAACAGTATAGTGGCCACCATACACTGAATGACAAATCACACAGCAGACGACGCCACGATTACGACGTCACCTCCCTCACCAAAATAGCTCCTCACAACATACTCCTGGTGCTGTTAGTACACTATTCCACACACACTGTATATACCCATGTACATGTGTGTTCCCCATAGCAAACCACGAAGCAAGTATGGTTAGCAAAACAAGAGTTACTGCCACACAGTGAGGCTACCTCAATTCTCTTCCTTCCTCCCTCCCTCACCAAAATTTCTCCTTCCTACGCACAACGCTCATTATAACCACAATCCTGGTCACTAATACCTGTAAATGAATAATTGACCATAAGTTTATTTTGAAAAGGAACCTAAAAAGTCATTTGAAGATTCCTAGATGGACGAAATAATGCTGTGGTGCTGTGGCTAACGCTGTGAACATCGTGAACAGCATTGAATCACTGATATTTGAACATTGTACCCAGTCATTATCACACTCGGGCTCTTCTATACTACTATCATGGCTAAATAAAACAGATTATATATATATTTTGACAATATTAGGCAATGCTGTGGTCATACGCTGAACAGCAGTGCTGTGCGCTCATGCTGCGAGCGCCAGCCTTGGTTGCTCACTCACTACTGAGGCTCTGACACCCGGCAATGTGGACCATGATTTTTTTTTTTAAGATGGCGTCTGTTTACAAGACCCCTGAGGAAGCTGATGTGAACCCCATGTAGCCGCGGGAGTTTTGAATGGAACGTGAAAAATAAAAACACCCGGGGGTGCGTTGTGCACCCTAAGCCTGGGCCTGCAGGCGCGTTGTGCAGTTAAAGGGTTAATGAGCTACTGAAACCAAATGGATATCATAGATATTTCAAAATTGGTGCAAAACATAATTTTGTTCTAGGATGATGATTGCAGTCACCTAGAAAATCAACATATGACAATAATAGCTGTCTAAGGGTTACAAACAATTTTGCACAATTACAATTTTGTTTATAGATACAGAATAAACAAATCTATAAAATTATAATAAAAGTACAGCATTAGTACATTTGAGTTTTCATTCATACTTACAATTAAAGCCTTCTTATTTGGATCTTTTTTCTTTGTAAATTTAGAATCTCCCTTTGGCCTTATCTCTCCCTCCCAATATTTTGATATTACTGGCAAAGAAATGTTAATCAACTGGTGGGCAATGCTGCGTGAAGCCTGTTTCACAAGACTTGCCGGTGTCCTTCCTGGAGTAGAGGCTGGGTCATCAGGCAACTCCATTGCTGATCCACCATCCTGTGGCAGTAAAACTTGCATTACCTATATACTATTCAAATTTTAATTCATATATTGTAACTAGCAACAATTTATGAAAATAAATTAACAAGTATAAGTGTAACTAAGAGGATCTTTCAACCTGGGAAAAAGTTGTCTAAGTAAAATAATGAACTTATCAAGTTCATTATTTTGTGTAATTATATATATATATATATATATATATATATATATATATATATATATATATATATAGGCCTCAACCTAGATTTAGATGACAGTCAGTGGGACCAAGCAACACTACCAGTGAGATTTGGAGGGATAGGCATACGAAAGGCAACTGAGGTAGCACTTCCAGCATTCTTATCCTCATGTACAGCAGCCAACGAATTGGTAGGGCAGATCCTACCAGAGCGTATGAGAGAGACAGCGGGAACTCATGATCAAACGTTCATCGAAGCAGCCAGACAATGGGACACCATTGCACACCCTCAACCCCGACCACAAGTCCCAAAAGACCACAAGCAGGCCCACTGGGATAGCCCCATAATGGAAAAGACTGTCACAGCAATGATTGACAACGCTGATGCTGAAAACAAAGCCCGCCTCCTAGCGGTAACAGCACCCCACGCCGGGGATTTTTTATTTGCTGTGCCCAATGCAGCCCTGGGAACTCGCCTCAGTCATGACGCTCTCCGCATTGGAGTTGCCCTTCGCCTTGCCGCCCCCATCCTCACCGAACATAGGTGCATCTGCGGAACTGCGATGGCAGACCAATATGGTCGTCATGGTCTGGTATGTCGTAAATCACAGGGTAAAACTGCAAGACATGAAGAAGTCAACGACATCATCAAGAGGAGCCTCGCCACAGCCCGCTGCCCGGCACAAAGAGAACCACACTTATCCAGACCTAACGACCCTCAGAAGCGCCCTGATGGGGTCACCTTGCTACCTTGGAAGGATGGTAAGCAAGTGGTATGGGACTACACGTGCGCTGCCACACTGGTCAGTACCTACCTCCACTACAGCACACGTGAAAGCGGTGGTGCTGCTTCTTTCAGGGAATCGCAGAAAATTATTAAATACAGAGGTCTAGCACACTGCTACAGCTTTGTTCCGATCGGCTCGGAGACCCTCGGTTCGTGGGGAAAATGTGCATTGAAGTTCCTGAAGGAATTGGGGGACAAATTGATCAGCGCTACAAAAGACCAGAGAGCAAAAAGTTTCTTGTTCCAGCGCCTCAGTGTTGCGATTCAGAGGGGAAATGCCTGTTGCGTCTTGGGCACTAGTCCAACTTCAGAGGAATTCGAAGAAGTGTTTGACTTGCAACAATGATCGAACCCGTCTGTGACATTCATCAAAGTTTCCCATTGTTGTGTTCTTCAAGAGATCCATAACCTTTAAGCACCTTTTTGCATTATTATTTTTGTATCAACCCATGTATATCTTGTAACCATCAAATGCATAATAAAGCACAAAAAATATTCAAGGAAGGGGGTGGTAGGAGAAAAGCACACAGAAACTGTATTGGAGGGGATCTAAACATTCCCTCTAATGCGTTATGCGTGGTTTCCTCCGAGGCTATGGGTCCCCCTTCTTCCAGCTAGAGGTGGTACTCCTTTCCCTATATATATATATATATATATATATATATATATATATGTCGTACCTAGTAGCCAGAACGCACTTCTCATCCTACTATTCAAGGCCCGATTTGCCTAATAAGCCAAGTTTTCATGAATTAATTGTTTTTCGTCTACCTAACCTACCTAACCTAACCTAACCTAACTTTTTCGGCTACCTAACCTAACCTAACCTATAAAGATAGGTTAGGTTAGGTTAGGTAGGGTTGGTTAGGTTCGGTCATATATCTACGTTAATTTTAACTCCAATAAAAAAAAATTGACCTCATACATAATGAAATGGGTAGCTTTATCATTTCATAAGAAAAAAATTAGAGAAAATATATTAATTCAGGAAAACTTGGCTTATTAGGCAAATCAGGCCTTGCATAGTAGGCCAAAAAGTGCGTTCTGGCTACTAGGTACAACATTATATATATATATATATATATATATATATATATATATATATATATATATATATATATGTTGTACCTAGTAGCCAGAACGTCGTACTTGGCCTGCTATGCAAGGCCCGATTTGCCTAATAAGCCAAGTTTTCCTGAATTAATATATTTTCTCTAATTTTTTTCTTATGAAATGATAAAGCTACACATTTCATTATGTATGAGGTAATTTTTTTTTATTGGAGTTAAAATTAACGTAGCTATATGTTCGAACCTAACCAACCCTACCTAACCTAACCGAACCTATCTTTAAAGGTTAGGTTAGGTTAGGTTAGGTTAGGTTAGGTAGCCAAAAAAGTTAGGTTAGGTTAGGTACTCGAAAAACAATTAATTCACGAAAACTTGGCTTATTAGGCAAATCGGGCCTTGCATAGTAGGCAGAGAAGTGCGTTCTGGCTACTAGGTACGACATATATATATATATATATATATATATATATATATATATAACTGAAAACTCACACCCCTGAAGTGACTCGAACCCATACTGCCAGGAGCAACGCAACTGGTATGTACAGGACGCCTTAATCCGCTTGACCATCACGACTGGACATAAGGAAGTGATAGCCGAAGCTATTTGAACCACTTCCCCGCCGGCACTCGGATGGTAATCTTGGGCATAGCATCACGACCATCCGGTGATGGTCAAGCAGATTAAGGCGTCTTGTACATACCAGTTGCGTTGCTCCTGGCAGTGTGGGTTCGAGTCACTTCTGGGGTGTGAGTTTTCAGTTGCATATAGTCCTGGGGACCATTCAGGCTTGTTCGCATATTTTATATATATATATATATATATATATATATATATGCGGAAAATCCACAGAGAAATATGAAATGAGGTGAACGTTTCGGCTTGTTAAAGCCTTTGTCAACACCAGACTGACAGTCTGGTGTTGACAAAGGCTTTAACAAGCCGAAACGTTCACCTCATTTCATATTTCTCTGTGGATTTTCTGCATAAAATGATCAGTGTTTTGTGATCGTCAATTGCATATATATATATATATATATATATATATATATATATATATATATATATATATATATATATATATATATATATATATATATATATATTTCATTGAATATGACCGCATATTCTGTATTTAATATTTTCTGGTTTAGGGCTTCTATCCCTCTAACTATTTTCTTAGCATCAGGGCTTAATTGGAATAGGAGTTCTCCAAAACTCATTTTCGTACTTTTAAGGTGAAGAAAAGAAGTGATTTACTATAGAGTGTATTACACTTATTTGTATAATTTGCACGACGTTTCGAACCTCCATGGTTCATTCTCAAGTGAACAGATCTTACAATACTAGTTGATTTTATACCCGCATTAGGTCAGGTGATAATACAATGAAGGTGAAAAACATGGGGGGATACATAAGGGATAAACATAGGGGCTGCAGAAGGCTTATTGGCCCATACGAGGCATCTCCTATCTAAACACAAAGATTAATCCAGTGTAATTGGCCTGTTATGTTGGACATTGTCTTCTGTGTTGGCATCGATATGTTCTGTGTTGGCATCGATATGTATATATATATATATATATATATATATATATATATATATATATATATATATATATATATATATATATATATATATATATGCGAACAAGCCTGAATGGTCCCCATTTATTTTAGTTATATATATATATATATATATATATATATATATATATATATATATATATATATATATATATATATATATATATATATATATATATATATCTATAGTACTGTACAGTACAGTACTTGTAAATATTCAGTGACAGAAAGTAAGCATTTAACTGCACTTTTCAGTAGTCTACCCTGATCTTCTTTATCTGAAGAGTGGTGTACTCCTTCTGCAAGTATGTTCTTGTAATACTTGTAGACTACTGCAGTTTCTTCTCACAGTTTCCGTACATCAACTAATCCAAGAAATAAATGCATTTTTTTTTCTATTAACACAGATATATTAATAATTAAAAAATACAGTACATTAAATTTTATTAATAATAAAAAAATACAGTACATTAAATTTTATTAATAATTAAAAAATACAGTACATTAAATTTAAGAGCAATTCTAGTTAGTCGTGAGTCAAAATTTAATTTTTTTTATTCATGTGAAATGGTAACCATTAAGTCATCCCTCAATGATAAATAAACCTCATCAAATAAAAATGCTACTTGCATCTGCTACAGTATTTAAATAATAATTTGCTATAAAATCAAGCAAAACACAATGTAGGGACAGAAAAGTGTATATGTTCATACTTATATACATGGTAATCCAGTATCAAGCCATCTGCCGCTGGAGTCACATCATGTCTCAAGGATGGCCCACTGCTCGGTCTACTTTCTCAAAGCATCTTACAAAGCCCTCATAATTAAATAAAAAACATACGCTGTATCTTACAGTTAAGTGAACTAGTGTATTGTATTATTTTAAATTTAAATGTGCTTATTACATACTATTGATGCAACAAGCAACACAATAAGATAAAAATAAGTATACAGTACTGTATAATATATTCCGGGTGAGTCTACCCGGTGAGTCCGGGCAAGATAACCAGTGGGGAAGACCAAGCCGGCTGATCATAAACACTGACAAACCCACGGAAATTGCCAGAATAACTAACTAAATACAGTACATAAATATACACAATATACCATTCTACAGTACTACATAAAAAAGGCAACTTAGTGTCATAGGAATATCAGAAAGCTATGTCAAATGTGGCCAGTGTAATTATGCCCTAGAACCCAGGACAAAATTATTAATCAGATTTGATAGTTGCAAACTGAGCTACCACAGTAATTGTCTCAAGATCTCAGATGTCGTATGCAATGCCTACAACACAGAGGAAACTGAAGGCAAAGGCCTCTTAAACTTTTAATGCATTACATGCAATGACAAACACAATAAGCTTTGGACTACCAGGGAGAATAATGAGGTAACAGTGGATATGAATGTTTAGGTAAAAATTATGGGAATAAAGACAAAACAATTGATGAGAAAACAATAAAGACCTCCATAAGGGTCACAAGGTAATAAAAGAACTACAGGAAGGACAGAAGGTACTGATGAAACAAGTTATGGTCTTCCAACAATCAACAAATAGAAATCATATAGGCGTGTTTCCCCCATGACCAATCAGGAGAATCCAGAGGGTAATCAGACATTCAAGGGGAACACAGTGAATGCAGGCAGAGTTCAGGATAGGGATTCAGATGCTCAGAAGGGGGATTCAGAAGCCTTGGATAGACAAAGATGAAAACACAACCTGATTATAAGAAACCTTGGAAAAGAAGAGTATTTCCTATATAGGGAAGTTAGGCAAACCTGAAGCAAATCTGGTATGCCTATTCATTGCAAATTTTTAACACAGAAGGATACTCAACAGTGCACATAAACTAAAATATCTGGGAGGGTAAAACTAAGTTTACATTTCCCCAGACCTCACCGTAGAACATAAAAAAAAAGCAACAATACTGTACTAAAAAACAAACTAAAGGATAAGAAACAAACTAAAGGAGCTAAGAAACACAGACAAATACAAAGATTCAAAGCTAATCAGGAGAGGCCAGATGATCATGATAGTAGATGGAAGAGAGGACATAATCCTTCACCAAGCCAGGCAGAACTAACCTTATATATCTTGAATGACAAGCAGACACAAACCAGAATGTCAATGTATGGAATGGCAATATGCAGAATGTGGCAGCAATCTCTCAGCCTCCTATGCCAGTTTAAATTGTTTCTACACAAATGCCAGAATTCTAGTAAATAAATTTTATGTGTATACATGGAGGCTGAGAATCCCAACATCATTGGCATCGGCAAAACATGGGGATAAGAGTAAGACTACATGATCAACCAGGCTGTGAGTCATATGTCGGGCTGCAAGCAGCTGCGTCCAACAGCCTTATTGTGACCAGACGACCAACTGGGAGGCCTGGTCAGAGACTGGGCCTCAGGTCTGTTGATCTCTGGAAGCTACACAAGGTAGAGAGGCCATAATTGGAGGGGAATTCCATCTTCCAGGATACCATCCACCAATCAGAAAAAAAGATGAAACAAGAACAAGTGGTGCAATGCTATCTGTTAAAGAGGAATTAAATGCAAACAACAATGAAGTGAACATCATGGGATCCTCAGAATCTGTATGGTGCAACATACTCGCTCAAATTGGCAGCAAATTGAGAGTGGGAGTATCCTACAAGGTTGATACAGCAACAGCAGAGGAACTTCCTGTTCTTCATAATGTGATGAATGCACCATCAGAAACCCAAAGCCTTATAATAGAGGACTTTTACCACAAGACAATAGATTTGGCAAGTCTAACATCACAAGCAGAAGGAGAAAAATTTCTTGACTTCATACAGGACTCCATTCTCATGCAGCATATGGCATGGTCCACTTGAGGTACGTAGCGGCATTCTAGATCTTGTGCTAACATCAGGAGAGGGCATGATTGATCAAATTCAGGTTGGGGAAAAGCTCACGCCTTCATGTGATCACAATATTCTAAGAAAAATTACAATTAATGAAACCAATGTAAAGATCCAGGATGAAGACTTTCTTGATTAACCTTGATGAGACTTTCAAGGAATGAGAGAGGTATTACAAAACATCTCCTGCAGGGAGCTGATCATGGCATGGAAGTCATGGGAAATTTTACAATGTTTTTGAATGAACTTGTTCAAAAATGAGAAAGAAAATAAAAGGAACTAGATGAATGACATTAGCTTGAGACGATTTCGGGATTTTAGTGTCCCAGCGGCCCGGTCCTCGACCAGGCCTCCACCCCCAGGAAGCAGCCCGTGACAGCTGACTAACACCCAGGTACCTATTTTACTGTTAGGTAACAGGGGCATAGGGTGAAAGAAACTCTGCCCATTGTTTATCGCTGGAGCCTGGGATCGAACCCAGGACCACAGGATCACAAGTCCAGCATGCTATCCGCTCAGCCGACCGGCTCCCATAAGCAGGCAAAAAAAAAAAAAAGTTTTAATAACTAAGTGTAACCTCTGGAGAAGGTACAAATTCATAAAGAACAACACAGATTATGATTATATATATATATATATATATATATATATATATATATATATATATATATATATATATATATATATATATATATATAAAAGGGTGCTAAATTCAGCCATCCAGGATCATATCATCCAAAAGAAAACTTGCCCAAAACAAAGAAATATCCAAAGTCATTCTATACCTTTACCATTAAACCTAAACAAGACTGTAGGACCCTTAAAAGACCTTATAACTAACCAAGTTATAATAGACAATAAAAGGGCAGCAAACACTCTGAATGAAAACTTTACATCAGTGTTCACACTACAGAGGTTAAACAACATCTCATTATCTACACATATGTTTAAAGGAGGCGAAGAAAACAAATTAATGAATATTCCCATAACTTGTGACATAATTAGAAAAAGCATTGACAAACTAAGATTCAAAAGTTCCAGGTGCTGACAGTATTCAATCCAAAGTTGTTAAAAAGCTAGCAGATGAATTATGCCTAAACTATGGCACTGAAACTCTTTCAGAAAATCTCTGGACAAGGGGATAGTCCCCCCCCCTGTATTAAAATATACAAATGTCACCCCCTATTTTTTAAAAAGGTAGAAAGAGCTCAGTAAAAAATTACTGTTCAATCAACTTGACCTCATACATCTGCAAGCTCATGGAGAGAACCAGTCACCATTTCACAGTGAACAAGCTAGTAAATTAAATGCAACACGAGTGTGTTAAAAAAAATAGATCCTGCCGTACAATCCTGCTCACATTTTTTGAAATAGTAACCAACTGTTCAGAGAAAGGCTTCCAGTAGATGTATAATTTATAATTTTATAGTTACTGTATGATTTAATTATAAATTATACACAAACTTTGTTAAAAGTTTTTGATAAGGTACCACATGAAAGACCAGCAAGGATATTAAGGCATGTAGAACAAATGAAAGAATACTAGAATGGATAAAACAATGGTTAAAACAAATAAAGCAAAGGACAGGTTGAATCACTAGTCCCAACACAGCAATCACTAACCACAAGCCTCCACACGTCAATCACTAACCACTAGTCTCCACACAACAATCACAAACCACTAAGTCCCCAAACAACAGACAATTACTAACCACTAGTCTCAGCATGTCAATCACTAACCACTAAGTCGCCACATGTCAATCACTAACCACTAGTCTCCACACAACAACCACTAACCACAAGCCTCCACACAACAATCACAAACTACAAGCCTCCACACAACAATCAAGTCTCCACACAGTCACTAACCACAAGCCTCCATGCAACAATCACTAACCATAAGCCTCCACACAACAATCACTAACCACAAGCCTCCACACAACAATCACTAACCACAAGCCTCCACACAACAATCACAAACCACAAGCCTTCACACAACAATCAAGTATCCACAGTCACTAACCACAAGCCTCAACACAACAATCACTAACCACAAGCCTCAACACAACAATCACTAACCACAAGCCTCAACACAACAATCACTAACCACAAGCCTCAACACAACAATCACTAACCACAAGCCTCAACACAACAATCACTAACCACAAGCCTCAACACAACAATCACTAACCACAAGCCTCAACACAACAATCACTAACCACAAGCCTCAACACAACAATCACTAACCACAAGCCTCAACACAACAATCACTAACCACAAGCCTCCATGCAACAATCACTAACTATAAGCCTCCACGCAACAATCACTAACCACAAGCCTCCACACAACAATCACTAACCACAAGCCTCCACGCAACAATCACTAACCATGAACCTCCACACAACATTCACTAACCACAGGCTTCCACACAGCAATCACTATCCACAAGCCTCCACACAACAATCAAGTCTCCACACAGTCACTAACCACAAGCCTTCATGCAACAATCACTAACCACAAGTCTCCACACAACAATCACTAACCACAAGTCTCCACACAACAATCACTAACCACAAGCCTCCACACAACAATCACTAACCACAAGTCTCCACACAACAATCACTAACCACAAGCCTTCACACAACAATCAAGTATCCACAGTCACTAACCACAAGCCTCAACGCAACAATCACTAACCACAAGCCTCCACACAACAATCACTAACCACAAGCCTCCACGCAACAATCACTAACCATGAACCTCCACACAACATTCACTAACCACAGGCTTCCACACAGCAATCACTATCCACAAGCCTCCACACAACAATCAAGTCTCCACACAGTCACTAACCACAAGCCTTCATGCAACAATCACTAACCACAAGTCTCCACACAACAATCACTAACCACAAGTCTCCACACAACAATCACTAACCACAAGCCTCCACACAACAATCACTAACCACAAGTCTCCACACAACAATCACTAACCACAAGCCTTCACACAACAATCAAGTCTCCACACAGTCACTAACCACAAGCCTCAACACAACAATCACTAACCACAAGCCTCAACACAACAATTACTAACCACAAGCCTCCAAGCAACAATCACTAACCATGAACCTGCACACAACAATCACTAACCACAAGCTTCTACACAACAATCACTAACCACAAGCTTTCATGCAACAATCACTAACCACAAGTCTCCACACAACAATCACAAACCACAAGCCTTCTCACAACAATCAAGTCTCCACACAGTCACTAACCACAAGCCTACACACAACAATCACTAACCACAAGTCTCCACACAACAATCACTAACCACATTCCTTCATGCAACAATCACTAACCACAAGCCTCCACAACAATCACAAACCACAAGCCTTCTCACAACAATCAAGTCTCCACACAGTCACTAACCACAAGCCTACACACAACAATCACTAACCACAAGCCTCCACGCAACAATCACTAACCACAAGCCTCCACGCAACAATCACTAACCACAACCTCCACACAACAATCACTAACTACACTCAACAAGAAACACTTCGACTGTTATTTCGTACACGAGTGATCCAAGAAGTTATTTCGCCTATTTTCCCTTATTGTGTTTAAACTTATATTTCACAAATTGCAGTTATTTCACTCCTTCACATTATACACAAAAATTCACACTAACATTTATATTATGACCCCATGCTCTTCTTTCTTTTTGCAAGTGATGAAACCTGAAAGAATTTTGTTACCCTCTGTATACGAAGTGAACAGCATCTTTGTTTACTCGCCTCTGAAGGCTACGGACTTAAGATGTTTTTTTTATTTTTAATACAATATGTAATCTATTATCAGTAATTAAGAATAAATATATTGTAAACTATTTGTGTGAATTATAATAACAGAATAATTAAAACTTTATGTAATATATAACTTGCTCTTCTCAAGTAAAAGCTGCATTTAGTAACAAAAAATTATAATTACAATATTACGCGTCTGTTAATTGAGAATTATTCATCCAAATAAGTTACTATATATAAATAGAATGGATGACAGGAGAAACAAAATACCAATACAAAAATATGTCCCAAATACGTGTCGAATTTTTTTTGTACGAAATAGCCGAAGAATCCGACATCATTTTTGGTATACAAAATTCTCAGTTGAAACATAAGGGCGTTATCTAAGATATAATACACATTAAGAATATTAGCAGTACATAATACAATCTTGGTATCCAAAATACAAAATAAAAATACTTAAATAGAGGAATAAAAATATATATACATAGCTTCTGTGTACGAAATAACGGCAGGTATCTCATAGGCATATAGTCAATTTCCTATTGTCTTCCGGCGGCTTCACTCTTCCTTCTCCGCGTCTCGGGCTCTTTGGCAGGGAGTCTGCAGGTAAATACAAATATATTTGCACTAATACACTTTTTTGATTCGTGTAATGTTTTGCAGTAATGCAGGTATCACGTTCCATTGTTATGATAGGCCTATTTAGGCCTCTTCTGGTCAGATTTAAAGCCTGTTTTGGCGTTATAACAATGGCCTCGGTGGCGTCACAGCTTGTGCACATGTCTGAAACAATCTTTTATTCTTTTTCTTTAGGTTAGGTTAGGAAAGGTTGAGTTAGGAAAGGCTCGGTTGGGATACATATTTATTATGGGATTCAAAACATGTTTTATTCTCGACTCAATCGGGAATTTCGGGTTCGGATCCTGGGCGGAACGCAAATGGTTGGGCGCGTCTCCTATCACTTAATGTACCTATTCACCTAGCAGTAAATAGGTACCTAGGAGTTAGTCAGCTTGTTGTGGGGTTGCATCCTGGATTCGAACCCAGACAGTCGGGCTTCTATGCATCTTGGCATGTCCAGTACTTTCACCATTAAGCCACACTGACTGTACAAGAATTAGAAGTCGTTTGAGCCTTGACCCAATTCCCGACAGCTCTCTGTGACTTTTTTGGGTATAGATATTTTATCAAATCACTTCATCATGCTGGGGCCAATTCTTGTACAGTCAGTATGCCTAGTGGTGAAAGTACTGGACACACGAAGGTGCATGGAGCCCTGGCTGTCTGGGTTTGAATCCATCGGGGGTGAGGAATTTTCTGTTGCATATTAGCTTGGAGACCAAGCTTGCTGCACATTGTATAGTAGTAGTAGGCATCCATCAGTCTCAGGAGACTATGGAGTTGTGCTCCGGTGTCGGCCTGGTCTGGAGTGGCCTCATATATTATCCTCTATAATATATATATATATATATATATATATATATATATATATATATATATATATATATATATATATATATATATATATATATATATATATATATATATATATATATATATAATAAAATGTGTGTGTGTGCAACAACGATCACAAAAACACTGATCC